CTATCCGTGATCTTTGCTTCCATAAAATTTCTTCTTTATACAGGAGCTCATCCGTGTCTTTCAGCAATCTTTCTCTTTCCACCATAGCAGATCAGTCAGTTCTTTTAAAAAGCACATTTAGTCTCTTCCTAATCAAGTCAAGCTTCTCGGGAAGATATCCAACGTATTTCCTACTCCAGACATGTAAAATTTTCATGAATGAATTCAGATTGTTGGCCACATCTTTCAAATCCTCAACATACCTACCTTCATTCCAAGAAACTTTAATTTGGTCTTCCAGAACCACACCTTCCCTCTCCCAATAAGCCTCATATTTCAACTGCTTAACAATTTTACCCACACGAGGAATTCTCAATAATTGAATAAGCAAAGGACAATGATCAGACCTTGAGCTTATAACATGAGAAATCTTACAGTCTGGAAACAGAGAAGACCATTGGGGGCACGCCACTGCAAGGTCCGGTCTCACCTTGACATTTTTATAACCCTCTTGCTTGTTATTATAAGCCCAAGGGATACCATGAAAACCCAAATCGAATAGATTACAGTCAGAAAGGACACTCATGAAGACCATTAGGCATGAGCAATCAATAATTGAAACAATGTTGGAATGAGTCCACCAATTATAGATGCATCCACCAGCTAAATCCACAAAAAGGAAGCAAGAGGAAAAAAAGTTGTGGATATGCATGTCACGACAGCTATGTGTGTGCAGCAGATCGGCCTTGGTGTGGGATTCCCGATGACCAGGGACGATTCCAAGAGGAAGAAAAGTTGTGGATACGCACTTGTCTCGCCCCCCTGTGCCTCCCATATCCCATGTATATATATCAAGCCCATATGTATATATCACGTACTTGCAGGCAGCAGGTCAAAGCCCATGTAGTGATTGCAGCAGGTAGCCGGTCAAAGGCCCAAATATTAGAAGAAGAAAAAGAAAAGAATAACAACCCACCATGAACCAGAAGGACCCACGCTCACGCACGTCGCACGTACACGGTAGTTTCCTCTGGTCGCTTGTTTCCACTCTGCTAGTTCCTGGCTTCCTGCGATCGGAAAAATCTACTCGCTGCCATCGCCGCCGCTGTTGTGTCCGTCTACTAGATCATCTACCGTCGAGAAGGGAAGGTGATAGGCAAGCGCCGTCGCGCAGATCCACATGCACATTCTGGCCGACCGACATCGACCAAGCGAGGAAAAAGGGTTAGTTTATTTTTTTAGGATTAAATGAGTTTGTGTCTTATAATGTACTTATGTGATTGTAGAACTACATACAAGGAAAACTAATTAGGATTTTTTTATTCTCTAATTGTGTTTGTGTAGACATTAAGATGAAGAGAGATGAATCAATTCATAGTTTTTTATGCCAATTGGTTCAAGTTGTCAGCCATGTGAACACGATGCAAACGCAAACGATCTGCAACCTATCCAAGAGAACAACCCTAGTCCTGCTGAAGGTGATTATCAACCTGATCATTGTTTTAGCCAGCATAAAGTGGATTAGGCGAAGCACTATCACAAGGAGCCATCATGGACCTAAAGATGCATGACTTCCTCTATGCCTGTACGACCCTTCTCATCAACTTCAAATCTTTTAATTAATTTTGTCTAAAATAAATGATCATTGATTGATGGACATGAAAATCAGATTGAAATCAATTATTTGTAGTACAACGTACCAATTTTGTTGTATAAATTTAATACAAAATGAAGTTTGTTTGGTCGAAGATGGACAATTTGGTAGTCTAGTGTTTACATCCATGAAAACATGGTTTCAGTTTTGGCCTTTTATATGGTCTTAATTTTTGGGCTGGGTCGAAGCTCATCTAACATACTCCCTCCTTCCATCTATATAGGGCCTAATGCGTTTTGTAAGACCGCCTTTAACTATTGATAAGATTAATAGTACATGACATGCACAATGTGAAAATTATATCATTGAAAGCTCCTTTCACAGACGAATTTAACGATGTGCTTCGTGTAAGTTGCATGTCATATATTATTGCTCAAATATTTGGTCAAAGTTAGCCTCGAAAAACGCATTAAGCCCTATATAGATGGATGGAGGGAGTATAAACCCCGCTAGGGTACCCGCCTAGCGAGAGCACTTGCGAGCGCTAATGCTTCTGGCCCGTTCGATTTTTTCACTGTAGTGCGATTTTACTTGGTGGCAT